CAGTGTAACTAGAGATTTATCAATTTTATCTGTCTTATCAAATCACTAGTTTTTGGTTTCATAATTTCCTCTCTTCTTTTTGCCTTCCATTTCATTGATTTCCTCTTTGATCTTTACTATTTCCTTTCTTTTGCTTACTTTGGGTTTAATTTGCTCTTCTTTCTCAAATTTCACAAAACAAAAGTTGAAGTCATAATTTGAAATCTTTCTTTTTTCTCATATTGGTATTTGTTTCATTATTTTTATCTAAGTAGTACTTTAGTAGCATCACTCTGAATCTGATACAATGTGTTTTCACTTTTCATTCATTTCAAAATACTTCCTAATTTCTCTTTTGATTTTGTCTTTACTCACAGGTTATTTAGATGAATGCATAAGAGGAGTCACCCACAGATCTCTGGGATTCTCTATGCAGTTCTTTCCATTCCAGTGTTCTGTCCTCTGAAATCTGGCTGTTTTGGTCTCCCTGGTCTTTCTGTTCTGTTTCATCAACTCAGACAGTCTGCTATGCATTACCTGAGTTAGCCCCTTCCTGTGCTGCAGTATGGAAACTCTTTCAATGCAGTAAACTGAGACAATCATAGCACTCCTCTTGCCTTTTTCCCATATCGTGGGGGACCAATGTCCTTAGTTGCCTGATATCCAGTGTCTTAAAAACCACTGTTTCATATATTTTGTCTGTTTTTTTTTTAATTTTTTTTCAGGAAAGAGAGTAAATTTGGCCCCTGGCTGGGTGCAGTGGCTTACACCTGTAATCCCAGCCCTATGAGAGGCCAACGCACGTGGATCACCAGGTCAGGAGTTCAAGACCAGCCTGGATAAGATAGTGAAAACCTGTCTCTACTAAAAATACAAAAATTAGCCAGATGTGGTGGGAGGTGCCTGTAATCCCAGCTACTCAGGAGGCTGAGGCAATAAATTGCTTGAACACAGGTGGTGGAGATAGCACTGAGCCAAGATTGTGCCACAGCACTCCAGCCTGGGTGACACAGTGAGATTCCATCTCAAAAAAAAAAAAAAAAATGGCCTGTTACTCCACGTAAGCTGGAAGAAGTTCAGTTTCATTTTGCTTATATCATTATAAACCCATTTGATTTATTTTAATTCTTTGCAGAATCTTCCTTTTCAATGCTCAAAGTATCCCAGCTTAAGTCAGTGGGAGCTATTTCACGTTGGCTTTTGGGTCCTTTGACATGTTCCTTCTAGTCTCTTTAGTGGCAAATGACATGCGGACCCCACAGTCTAAATACTGAAGGTAACTATATATTTGCATTTTCTGAACTTGTTTTTAAAAGTGGAAAAGAGAGCAAGATAGAGGGATTTTATATTTATATAACAGGTACACTACAATGAAAAGAACACCCTTGTGTTAGAGGAGACCCAATTCTACCACATACAAGTGACTAATACTCTTAACTGTTACATATAGGCCTCAAAAATTCTTATCTTTGCTTCTTAAATATGGACCTCTAAGTTTCCAAACATTGTCCCATAAATCTGACTTTATCTTATCAACCAGTGTGCATGCAGTCTGGTAATTCTGGACTCTCATTTACACAGTCATAGCAGCTTAAAAAGAAGGCTTCTTATCCTAATATTGCTTGATATTAGCAGAATCTAAGTAACAATGGTGTGCCATCAGTAAATAATATAAAGTAAAACAGAATTCAGTCAAGCCTGAATAAATCAAAATAAAATTAAATCCAAGGGACCACAGGAGGATACCAATGTCCTTCCATCTATTCCCAATCATCAGTTCTCCTGCCCTTGATTTAACAATCTAAGATATCACAAATCCCCAATTTTCCCTTCTAACCTACTAAATTAGACTTGATATTTCTTAGTTTCCATGAGAGCCCCTCATAGTCCCTTCCAGGCCAATGATTCATAAATTCATAAATTCTTCAGAGTGTAAGAACTCCAAATCTGACAACAGATCATCTAATACAGGCACATAATTTCAAAGACAGAGAACTAAGATACAGAGATTTTATGCTCCTTGCCTCTCTTAGTAAACTTAAAAAGCCAGAGATGTAGTGACATCATGTGTTAGATTTTTCTAAATCATGTAAAAACACATTTAGGTTGATAGCTCTCAACACTCTATATCTCACATCTTCCTGATTATTTATTTTATTATGTACTACGATGATAAGGAAAACACAACTTTTTAAGGGGTGTTTATATAATTACAAACATTTTTGTGAATGTCTTAGTAACTGGTATGAAAACACTATAAGAATACAAATCTCATAAAATAAAACGCATGAATTTTATTAAAAACTGAGTTCTACCCTTTTCAAGAGATAAACCAATTAAAACAGCTTTGCAGAACCTATGCATGTATAAAATATCTTCTTGCCTTTACTTGAATCCAGAAAACTAAGCAACACTAGTCGCTTAGTTGTACAACAGTTTTCTCATCAAAGCAAAGGCTCTATTAAAGAACAAAGATGTTCCTCAAAACTTTGTGGACTAACTCTGAATCCAATAGATTCTGATTGTTGACAGACCAAACCAGCAATCCTTGCCCATAATCTTCAGAAGAACCATCTCAGCAAATTGAGCTTTCCAATACAGACATTTGCTGTAGCTGTGTTTTATCCCAGAGAATAATTGTGATCTTTTAAGTACCAGTGTACCATAATTTTTGGCCAGCTCAAAATGCTCAGGGAAGCACTCGCTGATCTAATAAGTCTTGTTTTGTCGTTAATGAGTACAATTTCAAGTGATCATAAAAAGCCCACATATGGCCATCACAACACTTGTTGTGCACAATCTGTTCAACCAAAGGCATTTTTACTCTACACCATAAACAGCATTAAATGTGAGTAGAAAAACTCATCTACCAAGATGTTCAGGCCAAGGTTATAGAAAATGAATTAAAAATTATAGTTACATATGGTCTTGGTTACACTAAGATGTTCTGATAGAGCAATAACTGAGAATAACAGGCCTATCCTCTCCTCTAGCTTTAGGCTCTGATCTTCAAAATAAAATTAAAGCTAACCGGTCCTTTAAGACACAGTACAACCGCAGGCTCTCTTTTAGATACACTATACTAGAATAGTGATCTGATTTCTCAAAATCAAATTTTGTACTAATTTTCTAGCAATTTAGATACTATGGCATCTGGGTTTTGTTGCTGTTGTTGTTGTTGTTTTGAAACGGAGTCGCACTCTGTCACTCAGGCTGGAGTGCCGTGGCACAATCCTGGCTCACTGCAACCTCTACCTCCCAGGTTCAAACAATTTTCCCATCTCAGCCTCCCAAGTAGCTGGGATTACAGGCACACGCCACTACACCCAGCTAATTTTTGTACTTTAGTAGAGATGGGGTTTCACTGCATTGGCCAGGCTGGTCTCAAACTCCTGGCCTCATGTGATCGGACTGCTTTAGCCTCCCAAAGTGCTGGGATTACAGGCATGAGCCACCATGCCCTGCTGACATTTGTTTTAATATTAATAGTTAATATTTACTTAGCATTTACTGTAGTCTCTACTCTCATTCAATCATCTTATATATATATTACCTTATTTAATACCCTAAAAAATAATTTCCCCACTTAGTTAAGTGATAGACCCAATAATCCAACTTGAGGTTATAATGGCATCCAGGGTCCTATTCACTGTGTGGCCCTACCATAGTCCTAGGTAACTCATAAATATTTGCTCATTTCCTAGGGAGTAAAGAAAGACATTATATCCCATTAAAGTGTAAGCTCAAAGAGATCTGAAGACATCAAACTGAAAGAGACCTGGGATTTTACCTGTTTTTTTTCATCATTGTGTTGCCAATATAGCAGCTTTCTAATAGTTGTGAAATGAAGGAAGTTTGAAGAAAAAGGTTGCTTAGCTATAAGCTGGAAAAGGCAAGACTCACACTCACTTTCCTAGGTACTATAGGATAGAACTGAAGGGCATACAGCAACAAATTTCAGATAATACATGGGTAAATTTTATAGTAGCTATTTTTTTCCATTACACAGATGTGAGAGTTGGCTTCTAATTATTTTAAAGCTCTGGAAAGCAGTAGAGATGACACATCTGTGAGAGATTACAAAAGAACTGGCAGTTTGATCATTTCTAAAAATATGAAATTTCATATAATTGTTATATTAGTGAACTCTCTGAATGACAATGTAAGTTTATGTCATATATTCACCTCTCTTTTCACTTTACATATTCAACTTGATCATATGCACTGACCATATTCACTTTTTAAAGCCAAATACTCATAGGATCTAGTGATATATGAGCACTTAAAATTCAATCAATCAAAATATCTTCTAAGCACAAAGTATTACATTTAAATGATTCTTATCATATATATTTCTTTGATATATATTTCATAGCCATTGGCAATGAAAAAGCAAAAAGCTTCTCATTTAAATGAGTATTCCATTTCAGAAACTATAAGTTTGGTATTGCTTTCTTCAACTCATTTTAACTTTATCAAATGCTAGTATACTTCTCTAATGATCTGACTATCCCTTATTCAAGTGAATTCAACAATTTAGGGCTCACCAAGGAAAAGTAGCCATAGTACCTACCTTGGTTAGGTGAATGACTCCTTTAGAAGTGACTGAACAACCCATGAAGCCTACATATTGAAGCTCAGGGCAGTGTTCAGCAAATGCTTTCACCGACTGATCTGTTACCTAGGAAGAGACATGGATAAAGTTATTCAAGGTGATAGTTCAATGAACGCAAGGATTTGGCTCCTGAAAATCCCCTCGGCCCCGCCTTACATCACTACTATTTCCCTCTCTGTTAGATGGTTTGAGTCAGCGTACAAACATGCTATAATATTCCTGTGTTTTTAAAAGTCCTTTCTTGACCCTACATCCACTTCTCATCACCCCATGTTTCTACACTTCTTCATAGAAAATGACTCAGTGATGTTGACACTGGCTACCTCTACTTCTTTACCTTCTACCCTCCCTCTGTCAAAATACATACATTTTTATATATGTATACACACACATACACACACACACACACACACACACACACATACATATATATTTGTTTGGTTGGTTTTTGTGGTTTTCTTTGTTTTATTTTTATTTTATTTTATTTTTATTATTTTGAGACAGAGTCTCACTGTGTTGCCCAGGATGGAGTGTAGTGTGGCACAATCTCGGCTCACTACAATCTCTGCCTCTCAAGTTCAAGTGATTCTCCTGCCTCAGGCTCCCAAGTAGCTGGGACTACAGGCATGCACCACCATGCCCAGCTAATTTATTTTTTTGAGACAGAGTCTTGCTCTGTCACCAGGCACCAGGCTGGAGTACAGTGGCACGATCTCAGCCCACTGCAACCTCTGCCACCCGGGTTCAAGCAATGCTCCTGTCGCAGCCTCCCAAGTAGCTGGGACTACAGGCGCACACCACCACGCCCAGCTAATTTTTGTACTTTTTAGTAGAGATGGGGTTTCCCCATATTGGCCAGGATGGTCTCGATCTCTTGACCTCATGATCTGCCCTCTTCAGCCTCCCAAAGTGCTGGGATTACAGGCGTGAGCCACCGTGCCTGGCCTTTTTTTTTTTGTATTTTTAGTGAAGACGGGGTTTCACCATGTTGGCCAGGCTGGTCTCAAACTCCTGACCTTAAGTGATCCAGCCTCCTCGGCCTCCCAAAGTGCTGAGATTAGAGGCGTAAGCAAACACACCCAGCCAATATATATATTTTTATTGACGTTTAATTCACTTACCATAAAATTTACCCTTTCAAAGTGTACAGTTCAGTATATTCACAAGGTTATACACCATTATCGATATCTAATTCCAGAATATGTTCACCACCCTCCAAAAACCCCATGCCCATTAACAGTCATTTCCCTATTTCCACTGCCACCAAGTCTGACAATCTGGATTTTCCTATTCTAAACACTTTATATAAAAATAACTACACAATTTGTGACCATTTGTGACTGGCTTCTTTCACTTAGCATAGTTTTCAAAGTTCATCTATGTTATAACAGGTGTTGGAATTTCCTTACTTTTCAAGGCTGAAAATACTCCACTGTATGGATATACGACATTTTTATGGGTTGAATTTTGTCTTAATAGTCCTATTTTCAAATCTTAACCCTCAGCACCTCACAATGTGATCTTATTTGGAAACAGGGCTGCTATAGTTGTAAATAACTAAGTTAGAATGAAGTTGTACTGTAGTGGAGTAGGCTACCAGTCCAACATAACTGATGGAACATAGATGCACACACAGGGAGAATGCCATGTGAAGACTGAGTTATGCAGCCCCAAGCCAAGGAACACCAGATTGCCAAAAAAGTACCAGAAGTTAGGCGAGAGGCCTGGAACACATCCTTTCCCAGCACCTTCAGAAGGAACATGGCCCTGACAACACTTTGATCTTGGATTTCCAGGCCCTAGAACTGTGATACAATAAATTTCTATTGTTTAAGCCACTCAGTTTGTGGTACTTGGTTATAACAGCCCTAATAAGCTAATATACACATTTTCCACTGCCTCTTGATCTCACAGTAATCAAGTTTTTGTCCCTCTCAATCACTGTCACCATTCTATTAATTAAATGGTCAATCTGAGTTTTCATCCCAGCATTTCAGCAACATCAACTGACTCCAGTTGATGAGTCTTCTGGAAACAATTCATTAAGTTGCTTCTTGTGTATCACACTATTCTAGCTTTCCTCCTTCCTTGCTGTTGGCTCTTGGTCACTTGGTTGAGTCTATCTCATCTCAGTCCTCAGCTCATTTCTCTTTTCCATCTTACTTCATTCCCTAGCTGATCAAATCTAATCTTATGGCTCCTAAATAACTCTCCTAGACCCTCTCTGTCTCTGAGCACACTTTGATTTTCTTCATAACACTTATCACTACTGATCACATTACCCACTTACTCACATATTAGTTTGTCGGTCTTCCCCTTTGAAGATAACTCTTCCCTCCTTCTCCCCTAGAATAACCAACCATTCTGGTTTGCCTCAGACAGTTTCAGTCTTAGCACTGAAAGTCCTATGACCCAGAAAACTACTTAGTTCCCCATCGGCAGCTAGAATAATCCCTGGTACTTAGTAGCAAATACTGAAAGAAGTAAATAAATTTTTTTTCCTTCTATGTACTCCATCATACTTTTTACTTCTACTTTATTTTATTTATTTTTAGACAAAGGGTGTATTTGTATTATTTTAATATACTGATTTTTTAAATATCATTGTACTAGTGGCTTTATTTTCTGATATTGTTCATGTGTTTTATGAAGACTTTTTTTAAAAAGTTGGAGGAGGCACATTTTTTACACCAGTGACTCAACTTTGATCTGTACCATGATTAATTTTCTATACCAACTTGACTATACCATGAGGTGCCCAAATATTTGGTTAAACATTATTCTGGGTATTTCTGTGAGAGTTTCTGAATAATATTAACAACTGAATCAGTAGATTGAGTGAAGCAGATTGCTTTCTTCAATGGAGAGAAACTTTATCCAGTCTGTCAAAGGCCTGAATAGAACAAAAAGTCAGGGTAAGGGAGAATTAGTGCTCTCTCTGCCTATCTTCCAGGTAGGACATTAGTCTTCTCCTGCCTTTGACTAAGACCTGCATTGGAATTTTCACCATTGGCTCTCCCAGTTCTCAGGTCTTCAAACTTGGACTAGAATTTACACCATTAGTTTTTGTACTTCTCAGGCCTTCAGACTTGGGCTGAGACTATACCACTGGCTCTCCCGGAACACTAGATTGCCAAATGGAGATCTTGGAACTTCTCAGTCTCCATAATCATGGAAGCCAATTCCTAACATCAATCTCTAGAAAAATATATCAATAGACATATAGACAATATCCTAATGGTTCTGTTTCTGTGGAGAACCCTGAAAAAAACCTTGAGTATTACAATCCTGAGTTTTATTATATTGAAAACTCAGAGCTGAAAGGAGTAAGGCCCAAGGAACTGTATTTTCAGTGGGTCCCCCACTGACTCATAAGCATGTGAAAGCTTGAGTCCCCAGTGCTGCCAAGAAGTTACACTGACAGTGTTTGGTTTTTCTAAGCAGCCCTGCTTCACATGAATGGCAGAATAAAATTCCTTTTTTATCTCCCCACCTCCAAAAAATTTCCATTTATAGAATTATCTTCTTGTAATTGTGCTTAAATATTCAAGGTTTCCCAAATATGTAGCTTATTTAAAAAAGTCCAAATATTCTCCATCATATTCTTAATTTCAGATTCATTTTCTTCACAGTCCAGATGAAATCAACAAGTTTAACATCTTTGTTAGTTTTTCAAACAGCTGCAACTTACATCTCTTTGGCATTAGCTTTAGTATGGGTCACTCTTTTTGTATCTTCCTTATCTATGCTGAACAGATATTGGAAAAAGAGGTATGTGCATAGCATTAATGCTAAAACAATCATAAGAACATTTTCCTAAAATAATGAAACCAACAACATCTATGGTACCTGTGATAAAAGATTAATTCTCCCCTCAAAAGTAAAGTATGCTTAAGCATATTAAGACTATTGATAAATTAAAAATAGGCTTCCTGATACTTAGCATTCTAAAGGCATTATGTTAAATAAAGAATATTTAAGGCACTAAAATCACTGGAAGATTCAATGAAACTCAATCACTATTAAAAACAAAAAAGGGTAACAGAGGTTAAGTACATGGTCAGTTGGTTAAACACCCTGCTCAATTTCAGTCTAACATTAAGTTTTCCCTATATCTATCTTTGAGGAGAGGAGAAGAACTCAGATAAGGATTAAGGGCAGAAGAAAACTCAGGTCCAAGAGGCCAGAGCATTCAGAGAGGAAAAATGGGGTTTAAAAATGTGCTTCTTGGGTCTTTCTCTTTCAGCTCAAGCAATTAGAATAAGATAGCTCAGAGGAACGTCTAACATCAACAGGGTCCTGGAAAGCAAGGCAAGAGTGTGTCGTGAGGATGCAGAAACACTGTTAGTAGGCTTGGGTATGTTTTAGGAGACTAATAAAAGGGCCTTGAAGATTTGGGTGGCACCCAGCTCCACTTCCAAAAGATAGATCAGTTTGGATTTGGGGCAGAAGGTCTGGCAGAAACAGACTACAGATTACAGGAAGCAGGTACTGGTGGGTATCAGCTTCTCTGGGACCCTGGAGTCTGACTGCCTAGCTTCAAATCCCAGCTGGACCACTTACTAGCTGTGTGATTTTGAACAAGTCATTTCTCTTCTCTATACATTTTGTTCATTCTATAATATAGAGAAAATTACAGTACCTACCACACAGGGTAAAATGTGAAGGTAAAATAAGATAATGCATGAAAAATGTTTTGAACAATGTATGATATATTGTCATTATTCAATAGATTTTAACTATTATCATAATCACTCCAGGTTCCCCTTTCTTCTGTATTCTGATTGTTAGGACTAAAGGGCTGAAATGTGTAAGAGATTATTCAAAAGGGGTGTAGTTAAAGCATTCTAATTTCTTCTCCTGGTTATCACAAGAGATCCTGATCTTAATTTGGGGGTCTTCAGTTATAACATAAACTATGAGATGGCTGTGTGTAAGGAGACATAGGTGAAAGTTTGTTATTGACTCCATATGGTGGAAAGAATCCCATTTTTTCAAGGCTCTTAACCTAGATGCACAATAGAATCACCAAACAAGATTTCTGATTTAATTTGTTGGATAGAGCT